GTAGGGGTTGGTGTGATCCAAAGGAAGTCTAGGAGAAAGTTGTTCTCCTAACAAGGAAAATAAGCAACATCTTGCTTCATGTAAAGGTTTGCTCTCCACCCGTAAGGAGAAGCCACAGTGGATTAGGAAGTCTCAAGAGGAGTCTTGAGCCGAGGAGTAGGAGTTTTCGAACCTCGCTAAAATCGTCGAGTCATTGTTTATAATTTCTCTTCCCTTATCTTTTTTACAATTGTGCTATTAATTATTTACTTTCATATCTTGATTATTGCATAATTGCTTAAGTTGTTGATTATAAATTGTAAATCTATAAATTACGAATATTGGCCATTGACTCTATTCACCCCCTTCCCTTGCCGGCCTGTAGAGTCAAATATTGGGTAACACAATTTAATCAAATAGCCACTTCATCATTTAATAATTAAGAACAATTAGCCAAATAAAATAATTAAAATAATAAATTAAATGCTCTAAAAATTAGGGGTATTACATAATAGAGCCGGTTCTGTTCTGCAGGATTCCTTCTTCTCCAATTCTGGTCACTGTAATTCCCTCCGATCGCCATAGTTAAGGGTCTTAAGCTTTAAAACTAAGTTCCAGAGCATCCCAAACATCCATATAAAGCATGGGTACATGATTTATGCCATCAAAACATACTTTAACATATTCATATTCAAGGTTCAACAATTTATACACACACACACACACACACACACATATCTTTGTTTTGATCCGTTTAAGCATGCAACAGTTCAATTTAATCTATTATTAAAACCCTAACATCGTCCTAAGGATGAATCAAACACGAAATCAAAGGAGAAGAGTAGAATAAGAACTTACCTTAAGGGTTTCGGATAAAAAACCCTACTCATTTCTTCTCTGTTCGTTTCCTCAACTCCGGCAGCCTTAGGGTTGTCGTCGTGTGCCTCTACTGATCTGGTTCCACCACTCCAACAGTCCTCTACCTTCTCCCTTGGATAGGCTTCACAACCTCCCTCTCTTTCCTTTCTTTCTTCTCTTCTCTTTCTTTCTTTCTTTCTTTCTCTTTCTCTCTCTCTTCTGCTTTTCTCTTCTCTCTCTTTGTGATTTTCATTCCCGGCCCTAGCCCCTTCTACATACTACATTTATATATATATAATACTACTATAACATACTAACCCTAATCCTAATCTAAAACCACGTTTGACAATTTAAAATAATAATAATAAAAATTATATATATACATATATATATATATATATATGTATGTATATATATATATAAGTATAAGTGATCCAAGACCCTATTAGTTGGTCCAAACCCTTAGGCCAATCCATCACTTTTAAATAGATAAAATAAACTAATTAAAACATATAATAAACCATAAAAAATTTAAATTAAATTAACTAAGCTGACAACACAACTAAAAACAATTAATCACATAACAATTTAAATAATTAACACATTTACACATTAACAATTAGATCATTGCACACGCATAAATAGCCACATAATCAAATAAAAATGCCATTAAAATAATAAAACACATTTAAACATTAACAATTAAATCATTGCACATGCATAAATAGCCACATAATCAAATAAAAATACCATTAAAATAATAAAACAAATACTCTAAAAATTAAGGGGTATTACACACCTCCTTCTCCTTCTCCCGCAACCTCCTATCCGCCTCTGACGATGGCTCTGGCTATATCTATGATGCTGACCCTTTCATCCACCTCAAAACCGTAAATGCCCACAAGAAGGGAATCAATGACCTCGCAGTGTACTCCTCGGGGAAGTTGGCGTTGACGGTGCGTAGAGATTTATGCTTGGCAATGTTGAATTTGGTGAGAGCAAGGCGAAGTTTTTATCATAGGTTGGGCAAGGAAGCATTTATTGTGAAGTTCTATTCAGCGAAGAAAAATTTTACATGGTGATGGAGGAAAAAGGTGTTGGTCCACGACTCTGAGGACATAAGATTGGTCCATGAATTAGATAATAAAAAAGAGTTCTTTGTGCTGTACCTGGCACGGTCAACTTTGCAATTTCTTGAAGCTTTAAAATTGTGAGTTGTATCCCCTCTGGTAAAGGAGGAGGTGTACAGAGCGAGAAATATATTCTTTCAAGGTTTTGCATTAGAGCTTCAACGGTGAACCGGATCGAAAGGATAGAGATATGGGGGAAAAAGAGAGAGAAATTATATATGTATGTAATATTGTATTGGGCCAAGGAATTAGAATAGCTAATGTGGAGAGGGAAGGAAAGATATTTATTTAGAGAGAGAAATTGTACAGTTATAGTCTAATCAATAACATATGCGTAGTTTAGTAATTTATAATAGCAATTTGAGGGTATTTTAGTAAATTAGATAGGCTCGTTAATGCATTTGACAGTTTATCACTAGGAGGGGAGGTCCGTGTAAGTTAGTTTCATTTTTAGTGGAGGTCCAAGTAATTTTTTAAAACATATGAGAGGTCCCTGTAATTATGATAAACCATATGAGAAATTCGTGTAATTAACCCTAAATTTTTATTTTTACATTTTGAAGAATTCAATTTAAAATATATTCCATTCAAGGTTTAAAATTGATCTAACCAAATAATAGAATAGTGATGGTCATTCTATTCCTATATTATTTCATATTTGCATCCAAATAATAAAATAATTTAGTTTTATTTCATTCCCATTTGCTTTCAATGCCACTCCTGTGTACCAAACGTAGCCTTAGCGTGTGCCTTCTATTTTAGCAGGTATGTTGGAAACAATATGATATGAAAGGAAATTTGTGACCAATCTGAAAGGCTTCATATAAAACTTTGGGGGCAAACTACAATGTTTGGACTATATGCAACTAAACTTGAGGTTTGCCATTTTTTTTTTGCAAGACCCCCATGTCAGATTTTGGGATGAATTTACTTATCTACCCTTGTTATTATAATTGTTAAAAATAATCAAAATATCTAAAAATGTCAAAGGACTATCTTGTCCCTTATACTTGCAACCAAATTCTTGCACTTCGTCAACCCCCTTCCCCCTCCCCTTACCACCACCACCCACCACCCACAGCCACCATCATCACCCCACAACCACCGTCGACACCAAATCAAACTGAAGAATTTCACAAAGAACACAACATCGTACAAACTAAACAATCACTATTTTAATAGAATCCAAACATCAATTGAATTAACCTAACAAAATTCAAACACCCACTGTTTTAATAGAATCCAAGCACCACCTCACCGACGCTGCTCTCCCTCTCTCCTCCACTACTCCGGCGACACTAATGGCTGCCTCAACTACTTATCTCTCCATTTCTCTGTTGCTGTAACTAAGCTCTAGACCATCTCAATTTGTCTGTAGTATGGGTATTGTGACTCTCTCAGCCCTCGAAAATGGAGCTCCAGACGAGTCTGAATCAGTGGCCGCCGTCCGTGGCAGCCAATTGAGGACTGAGTTTGGTGCGATTGTCTGCTTGCACCCGTTTTCCCTTCACAAAATAAAATTCAAACTTGTGTTTGGTGTGCGTTTGGTTCAATCAGAAACCCAAACACCAACTAAGGCAGCATACTTTTGACTTTACCAGAAAAATAGTCGCTGTTCACTCATCGCCGGGTGCTTATACAGAACCGATTCCACCTCCACGCTGCTCAAATTCTGGCAGCCACCGATGATTACATCTTTCGATCGCTTTTCTATTTAGAGTAGGCCGATGTCGGAATTTCCTTCGATCGGTCTTTGATTGGTTGTTGTGGTTGATACCAAAGATAGCCATGGATGGTGATCACCAAGCTTTCAGGTTTGACTTGGGGTTCTCTTGGTTCAATTGGGTTTGTCATGGGTGCGATTGGGTTTGTTGTGGGTCCGATTGGTTGGTGATGATGGGGCCGTTTGTTTGGCAGTGATGGTGGCGGTCGGTGGATTGGTTGGGGCCTCTTTTTTAAATGTATTAATTTAGTATTATCAAAAAACCTAATTAAGGGGTAGTTTGGTCCACTCACGCATGGTTTTTTTTTGGTTATTTCATAACATTATAAGGGTAATATGGTCTTTTAAACTTAGTTGATGGGTATTTTAGTCACCACAACCAAATTTTATGACAAAAATGATTGAATTTTGTACATTGGGGAGGTCTTTGCAAAAAATAGCAAACTTCAATAAAACATTGCAAAAAAATGACAAACCTCAAGTTCAGTTGTAATTAGTCTAAATCTCATAAGAGATCATTGTAATTTGCCCTAAAACTTTTTCATCAAGATTACCATTTAGAAAAATAGTTTTCAAATGAAAAACTAACAGGTGGTATCAAAATAATACTCTTTTCTATTTTTATTTTTTGTTTAAAGCACTTTGCAACGAGTCTATGTATAAATTTATTAATTAATCCATTTGAATTTAATTTCTTTTTAAATATCAACTAACACCCTATTCCTTTCTATCCGTTTGGTAATCTGTTAATGCCCAAATTCTGTTTGAAAAAATGAGATTCATTTTAATCATTTATAGTTTCTTTTCAGAAAGAAGCATTCATATTAAGTATATAACAAGCAGAAAGTATTTTTTTCCTGATAAATAATAAGCACAATATCCTTCCAAAAAAAAAAAAAAAAAAAAACAAACAAAGCGCAATATTGCTTCACACTTCATTAATTAATGGCATTCACATTTATTAATTTTTATTTTTATTTTTTTTAAATTGTATTTATCATTTTAGCAAAGTTCTATTTTACTTTCTGTAACACCATTATCCAACATGGCCATTCACATCTTAAAAAAATATCTTAATAAAATCATCTATTAAATGTAAAAAAAAATACTTATTTTCCCTCCGGAGGTTTTTTTTTTTTTTTTTTCTTTTTCAAATTATTCCAACCCCGACACTCCTCCGGAAATGTGAAAACCACGCGCTCTATAAACAGTGACACTCTAAACGGCGTCCCTGCTCATCTTTTCATAAGCGCATTCGGGTTGTGTTTCTTGTTCTTCCTCTCCTCTCTCTCTTTGGGTGGATCGGAGGAGAGTCGCCGGAGGAATAGAGTACATTCCGATTGGAGATCGTTTACATACATAAGAATGAAGATTTTGGTGAAGACTTTAAATGGTACTCACTTCGCAATCGACGTGAAACCTGAAGACACGGTTCGCATTCTTTTCGTTTCTGAAAGTGTTGTGATTACACACGCATACACACACATATATGTACGTGTCTTATAGAGTTTTGCAATTCTATTGTTTTTTCCACTCAATTTTGATCAAGAATTAGAATGTTCATAAGCTTCTTGATTTGTTGTCACACTGTGGAATTCGACTGAAGAATTTGAATTGTGCTTTGGATTCGTTATACTTTGTTTCTCTAAATTCATTCATATCTATTTGTGATGTTCGGTTTTGTTTGTGTTATAATTTCTTTACCATGTTGATTATGGACTTTGAATGTGAAATTGGGGGTGTAAAGTTGCTGAAGTGATTAGCATTATTTCTGATTCATGAGTTTCATTGCTTAAAATTGGGTGGCAGTTATGCATTTTCCACCTACTCCTTTGTCAAGATAATTTCGCTCTCTAAGAGGAGAAAAACTTGGGCATAGCAGTGGTATCATGTCATCATGCCTACATGGGATCACCAATTTAATCAAGGAGTAATACACTTTTCACTTCAGTAGCAGAGCTGTTTGTTCCAGCATTAAAAAGAGGGCTGCAACCTCTGTCATTTGATTTGTCATGATTGGTCAGTCACCATTGTAACGAAGTTTTTTGGACTTTTTATGCGTTGATGGTCCTTTTGTCAATAACTATTTTTTTCTTTTTCTGTAACTTGATGTTTGCTTTTATATTTTCAAGAATGAATTTGATTTGAAGTCAAAATTGTGCATTTGACCCAAGACACATGGAAGTTATTAATTTCCCTCTTTGTCCTGGACCAAAGCAATCTCTAATTTTACAATATGGTGCATGAAGCACGAAGCAATATGAATGGTCTATATATTTAACCATTCATCCATCTATATGTTTTACAATATGTCTGTCTATCTATCTATCTATGTATCTATCCATATTTCATTTTTTCTGCCCCTCTATCTATCAGTGATTTAGCGGCATTGACTTTGTTAGGTCAATAGGACGTATGTTGGTGAATTTTGTAGATCGTGACATTAAGTTAGAACTTTTACTTAATTTCTAGTTTAGTTTAGAAATTGTCAAAAGTTAGCTAACTGTTGGTTACCTCTCCAAATTGATGATGAACTACATGCCACGACAAAGGACACCTTGATAATCTTCATCAACAAGGGTAAAAAGGTAATACACAATGATTTACTCTCTCCAATCAGGGTACATGCATTGCTTATCTAGGATTTCTTAATTTCCAAGTTTATAACTTATTTTGATTCTCAAATATGTTTTAAGTATGCATGATTGAAAATTAGAAACTGCCTTACAAAAATTTTTACCCTTCCGAAGAGCAATGGGGCGATCAGAAACAGTCAGAAACAAAATTAGAAACAGGGTATGTACAAGAATGTTTACCCTTCCGAAGAGCAATGGGGCGATCATCAAGTGAAACAATAGCTTGAGAAAGCGGAGCTGGTGTCGAAGGAACAAGGTAGTCGATCGTGGGAGTAGAAGCTTGTACCTGTTGCGACTATAAACCTGTGGAAAAGGAACAATTCCCCCTGCTAGAGGGGTATCACGAGGAGGAATAATAGAAGACGAAACAAGCAAAGGTAGAGAAGTTGAAGACGGAAGAAGGTGATCACCAATTGTGCTCAATGGGAATCATTCATTTCGAGAACCAACTGAACCACTATAGTATGGTGTATGCTCAAAGAAAGAAACATTCATGGATATAAATCGTGAGGATGGTAACACCTATAACCTGTTTGAGAGTGAGAATAGCCTAAAAACACACTTTAAAGCCTTAGGGTCAAGCTTTGAACGTGTCTGCCCCAACTGCTGAACAAAGCATACACACTCGAAGATTCGCAGAGGAATAAAAAAAAGAGATAAATTGGGATGTAAGATTGAGAGTAGGGCTGCAAAGTTAAGAATCCTAGAAGGGGTCCTATTAATGATGTAGACAGCTGTAAGAACTGCATTTCCCCAAAATGATTGGGGACCATTCATGCCAATGCAGATTGCTCTAGCTAAGTCAAGGATGTGGCGATTCTTTCTCTCAGAACGGCCATTCTGTTAAGGAGTTTTAACATTAGAGATCTGATGCTTAATCCCAAATTCTGTACATAACCGTTGTACCTCTCCATAAGTGTACTTCGTACCCTGGTCAAATCTAAAATTTTTAATGGTACAACTATATTGAGTCTGAACCATTGTCATAAAACTTTTAAAAATGGTGTACACCTCATTTTTGGTTTTCATATATAAACCCATGTAATACTAATTAAAAAAAAAGAAAAAAAAAAAATTAGATAAACCCATGTAACACGACTATGATCATTAATGAACACCACAAAATATCGAAATCAAGCATATTTATTACGACTAGCAGGATAATTGGAGCCAGGTAGCATGTCTCACAGGATAAATTTGAGACTGCCACGTTACAAAATAAGGAAGGAAACAAATGTTTTAAATAATCAAAAGAAATATGTCCTAAACGCATGTGCCAATGCATAAGTTGCGCTTTATTAGATGAAACAAAATTAGAAAAAGAAGCTGAATGAGCTTGAGGTGACAAAGGAGCATCCAACAGGTATAGGCCGTCCACTTCACGCATACTGCCAATCGTCCATTTCGACACCAGATCCTGAAAAATACAGTAAGAGGGAAAGAATGTTACACTACAATTTAATTGTTTAGTGACGATACTAACAAAAATAAGATTTGTAGTCAACTATGGAACATGAAGTGTATTAGATAATGTTAATGAAGGAGTAACTGATATGTGACCCTTCCCAGTGATGGAAGATGGAGAGCCATCCGCAAGGCATACCTTGCGATAGCCAGAGCATATACTATAAGATTGGAAGAATGCGGGCATACCAATCATATTGTCTGAAGCACCAGAATCAGTTATCCATGGTGTCGAAGATGTAGATACACTATGTGCAGATGCAATAGTACCTGAGTGGGCATAAGTTGAGGTTGGCTGAGATGATGCCTCCATTTGATTGAAAAATTGTTTTAACTTGTCCAAATCAGCTTGAATCAAGGTAACTGTGGCAGAAGATGACGAGGCAGAGTTGTCAATAGTTAACAACGAGACTGGTTGTGTGACAGAATGTGTAGAGGATCGAGGTTGTTTCTGTTGCGGTGGGCGTCCATGTAGTGCATAACACCGAGATTTGATGTGACCAATTTTCTCACAATGGTCACACCGCCCACGTTGTTGTCCCAGGGGAGGACCAATGGTAGAACTCTGAATTGACTGGGATGGTGCAGTTCCTGAAAGGTTGGGAACACAAACTGCCCTCATAGAACGATCAACAGAAGCAACACCTAATGGATGAGTCCGATGGCTCTAACAACACATAGGAGTATGCATCCTCGAGAGTAGGGAATAAAGATAAGCCCATTAAATGAATATGAGCATACTCAAACTCGTCGTTCAACTCGACAAGAAACTGAAACACTCGATTCTTCTCCACAATCCTTGCATATAAAATTGCATCATCTGGAACCTTCCATGAGCGGAAGGAATCATAATATGACATCTCCTCCCAAATAGTACGAAGCTTGGCGATGTAACCTGAAACTATTAAGTCACCATGAGAAATCCTGGTGATATCTCGCCATAACTGAAAAATTCGTGCATTATTGTGCCTCTGAGACTAAGTGCGTTGAACTGAATCTTCAATCTGCTTAGCAGTCTTCATAAACATATAGCCAACGGCTATGTTTGGCTACATCGAATTGACTAGCCAAGACATAAACATAGCGTTATTTGCAATCCACCGTGGATATGCCTTCTCTAACTCAGCTGGCTCTTTTTCAGAGCCAGTAATATAGCCAATCTTGCCTTTGTCACTAATGACTATCTTGGCAGACTGTGCCCAAATCAAATAGTTAGAGCCATCCAACTTCACTGTGGTGATTTGAAGTCCTGGATTTTCTAATGAGTTAGTGGGAAAAATGGCACCACTACCCACAAAACTAAAGCCAAGAGAATTTAATAGTCGAGGACCCTAAATTTGCCATTATTTGTCATACGACAACAAACAACTCCAAAAACACTACAAATTCTATTAATAAATCAAAGGGTTTCCTCAGACCATAAATAATAACAATGTCTCTTCAGATCATTTCCGAAAAGTCCAAATACAGACTTTTTCAAAGAGCGCTGTCCTCTTACATATAGCTGGACAACCTCCTGCACAATATCCGGAACTTCTCTGTAGACTCAAAAAAATTTACCTAAGCCCTTCTAGGTGTTGGAGACCAACTATCCCAATTTACCCAACCCTAGAAGAGCAAAAAAGAAATTATAAAACTTTAAAAATACATGTTTTCGATCACAAAATAGCAACACAGAAAATCATGTGTAGGCAACGTCACACGATGTCGCAACAACTTAAGGTGGTTGTTGCACAAGTAGCAAGGCTATTGAAAGGTGTGGAAAGGTGTTGGCTCTGATGCCAATAAGAAATATAAAAAGAAGAAGGAGAGAATTGTGTAAAGACTTGAATGAGATAAATCACTTATTCACAGCTCTAGTATATATAGATAAAAAGAGTATATGCTCATATTACAAAAAAAGATATTAAATCACATGCTCATATTACAAAAAAGGAAATGAAATGAAATCTAAATCAAATCAAAGCATATTCTATGGCATCTTCTATAGCATAATTAAATTTCTGCTAATATGGTAAGTCATTCTTTAAATCGTGCTATCATATCTGCTAACAGTAACCATAAGGTTGTTCCATTGCAATATAGAGGTCACGGGTTCAAGAAACAACCCTCCCCGTATGAAGAGGTAAAAATGTACATATGACCTTTTCAGACTTTGCAATGGCGGGAGTCTCGTGCACAAGGTTAGCCCTTTTTCTTTTAGTGGAGGACGGTGTAATTAAAGCAAATGTCAGGGAGGTCAATGTAATTTTCTTAAAATATATAAATTTGAATAAAATATTATAATATTTCGAAAATTAAAATCAACAATCTTCATGTGAGTTCCAATAAAACCAAAGTATTTTTTCTCTGATGTATTTCTTCAAACTATTATAAGATAATGTAAAAAAATTGTTTTTAAAAACGAGACAGTAAAAATAGAAAAAGAAAGAAAAATAGAAAATAATCTAAAAGTTTAGGAATTAAAATTTACAATCTTCATGTTAATTTTACTCTATGAAGCACGAACATGCCTAAAAGAGCAATGAATCCGTGTCGGACACTGACATGCGCCGGACACGCCAAAAAACGTGTCCGAATATTTGTTTATGTTCTTGAATATCTGGACACGCTTCGGACACGCGTCCGACATGCCATGGATACATGTTTGACACACGTGTTCCTTTGCGATTTTTAAGAAAGTTTTAGAAATAATGTTGAGTTGAAGTATAAATATTGGAAATTGTTTGATAACTTTCTGCAATATGATGGTAATTACATAATTACTTAAAAGTTTTGTTTTATAAAACAATTTTATATTCAAACAATTAGATATTTATCCTTATATTTTTGTTCAAGGTTCGAACTCTTGGACAATCATCTTTGACTCTCTTGTTCTCCCACCAACCTAGCTTCGCTACCGGAGAATGGTCTCTCTCTATCTCTTCTCTTTTCTCTCTTCTTCTTCATCCTCCTGTTTTCTTTCTTCTTATTCTTCACAATTCCTAGATACTGCTTTATTTCCTTTTCACAATAAATTTCTTTTTGTGTTTATTTTTCCTTTTTCCTCTATTCCCCACGAACTTTTTTCTCTTCTATGGATTCTTACCTTTATTTTTAAGTAAGGCCTAATTCTTATTCTACCAAAACCATAATCCTCTTTTTTCCTTTGTTTCTTTTTTTTTTTTTTTTTTTTTTTTTTCCCCTCTTTCTTAACCCTCTTTTTACCATTCTTTCTTTTCTTTTTCCCAGCAAAATACAAATTTTTTTTTTTTTTTTTCATTGTGAGGTTGTAAACAAATATTACTCTTAGGAGTGAAATTCTTCATAAGTAGGCTTTGGTTGTCAGTAAGATGAGATGGTTTGGCAAATAGTGGGACAAGGTGAATTGTGTCTTGTTGAATTGGTGGAATGAAATTATTCATAATTGGCCTTTGGTTGTCAGTAAGATGAGATGGTTTGGCAAATTGTGGGACAAGGTGAATTGTGGCTTCAATTTTGTTTACACTATTGGGAAATGATTTGTTTCTTGGGTCAAAGAGAATGTATCTTTTACATTAATTTTAATCTTAATCTTATTCCATCTCTAGTTTCTGCATTTCATCCATTGACATGCCAAACTGTTCTATAGAACTTTTAATTGCACAAGAAAATGTACATGTATTTATATTATGTTTTATATAATTGAGGTTGAATTGTAGTTCCATGCCTTTTCATTTCTTATCATTTCTTTCAGTCTGCGTAAAAGTTGTCTTCTTTTTTTGTTTTGGGAGTTTGTTTTAAGGTGGTTCTAACAGTTCTCTCTGCCATATAGGCACCACAGAGACATGCTCAAGCTCCTAGTTCAACTCCAGCATCAGCTGATCCTCAACCTCCTGTAACTATATTGGCATCGTGAGTTCAAGTTTCGCATGGCATTGATATGCTATATTTTGTCGCTTTCTGTCCTTTGGTTTGTGTTGGATAATAGTGTAATTAATGATAGAGTTGTGGTCATCTTGTAAATAAGCTATACTTGTACATAAATATATCTATCTATCTATCTATATAAATATCTCAGATTTTTAGGGTTCTCTGTAATTCTGAGAACACCACAAAACACCTTTCTCTCTCTACCTCTCAACATGGTATCGGAGCCAAAAGTAATTGAAAACACGTGCTGGAACAAAAAGGCGGCCTTACGTGAGGGGGCGTGTTAGAGGATATAAATAATAAAGTTACATCCTCTCTAACAGCTTAAGCTTTTATAGTAGATGGCTGTCAACAGTTTGCGATATGCATATTTATTCCTACTTCACAGTCCTACACCCACTCTTGCGCCTGCAGCATCTCCTGCTTCTTCTGTTGTTGCTGGGTGAGTATTTTCTTCTTTCAGTTAACTTGTGGTTGGTACGCCCTTCAATCTGATATTGTCCGTGTTTACTCTATTTGGATAGCTCCTGAATTTGTTTCTTATTAATATCCAATTATGTCTATTCAACCAGATCAGAGCCGGTCTATGGTCAAACAGCATCAAACCTGGTTGCAGGAATCATCCTTGAGGGAGCAATCCTGCAAATTCTTGATATGGGTGGAGGGACTTGGGATAGGGATATTGTTCTTCGTGCCCTTCTTGCTGCTTACAACAACCCCAAGAGAGCTGTTGAATATTTATATTCTGTAAGTATGTTCACTTTTACTTGATTTATTTGTGTTTCAATCATTCACCTGGGAAGTGCAGTTTGGCTGGACTTCCGTTGGAGAGATGCATTGTCTCATTAGAGTTAGATTACAGCTTACTTGGTGGATGGTTCCTACATGTTCTCTATTACTTGTTGGAAGTTTATAGAAAATGAAGGTCCACTTTGTTTTGTCAGGGAATAATTTCCAGGGGGCGGCATGAGTATGTCATATGATTCCGTGTATTCCATATGCGTTAGCATATGATTGGACTTTGTCATTTATGCTGTATTGTCCTGCTATGTTTGCGAACTTATCCTTTCATAGTAAGAGCTCCTGTTTTGCCAACCAAGTGGTGGATGTGAATCTGAAAATATTAGCATGGCATTTCACTCGAATTGTCTCTGCTGTATTTGATTCAATAGCTTGAAAATTTATGAATGATAAGAAATTCTTTTGTCTTCATTGGATGATCCAGGGAGAGATCACGATCCATTATCCTGAATCTATTTATCATTGCTCTATATGTATCAGTTGCATGAAGTATTAAGGTTGTAAACATAGGACATACAACATGAGGGGGGAGATATTTGTTTGCATATTTTTAGGCTAATATTTTCTTTCTTTCAATATTTTTTTTTTTTTTTTTTTTTTTTTGTGTGTGTGTGTTTTTGGGGGGTTGAAAAACACTCATGACCTACTGTCCTAGTGGAGACTTGGACCATCAACTTCCTCTTTAGGGGAGGTGGAGGAGGTACCACTTAAGTTAATGCTCGACTGAGGCTTAGTGACTTGTACTACATATTTGCATGTCTGTGTCTTCTATATACTCCTGTAGTCGGAGTGGTGGTTGGTGAATCTGAAGATGTAGTGGCAGAGCATTATATACCCTTTTTTCTTCTTGCATGTATATTCTTTGCATGAAGTGTTACCAGAGAGAATCACATTTTTGAAAATTGAAGTAATCTCTCTCTACCACTCAAAATCTATGTTACATGTACTCTTTAAAAGTATGTGAAGTCCCGTGTCAGACACACATTGGGTATGGGATATGTGTCTGATTCTTTTGTTTGGACATGCACCTAAACAATATGTATCCAATAATTCAATGTTATTATATTATTACCTCAAAATGAGTGAAATGCCTATATTGAACATTAAGTTACAAAAATACATTATTTTACTCTAGAAAATGAAATAAAAAGATTAATTAAAATGAATATTTGTTAGTGTCCATGTGTCATTCTATTTGGAGATGTGACATGTATGACATGGGGATGAACCAAACATGCCCTATATATATGTCTCTAAAATCCATAACTCCATCTTCTACCTCTTGCTTGATCTGATCGACTACTGAACCTAACCAATTATCTCTCTCTACGTAGTTCAAATTTTGTCTTGATTGGCAACTCGATTATGGCCCGGGTCGGTTAAGTATTCGGCTAACTCGCCCTTGGCTATCAGAGCCTCCACTTGCATACCCATAGCCACCACACGTAGCTGAGTCCATGTAACATAGCTCAAAATACACTCCATCATCACCTCTCTTGCTAAGTTGATAAATACTTCTGTTTGTATATCTTCTTTGCATTCTATTAGTTAGAACTTTTACTTGGTTTATTCTTCATGGGAAGATTTTTCTTATCTACTTTTTTTTTTTCTTTTTCTTTTTCCCAGAGATATGTCATTGGTCTTGCATGATGAGTGAGCAATGATGAATTCATTTTAAGATTATCTTAAAAGAGAGGAATTTAAATTTCTTTTAGTTTAGGAGGAGGTGGCAGATTATTGTAAATTGGTGTTGTATGTGCATAAAGAGTGAGGAGTCGGTGAACCATCTCTTTTTGCGCTGCACTGTGGGACTTGATGTCTGGGCCATGTTCTTTTCTATCTTTTACGGTCGGCACAATAGAAGCTTGGAGAGGGTGTATAGTGGAAACTGGATAGCCAAGCTCATGATGCTTTGAGGCCACATCCTTTTGTTTATGGTGGGGGTTGTGGCGAGACAGCAATTTGTCTTCTTTTGATGGGGAGGAAACTCCAATTTGGTATCTCAAATATACTACTCTGACTTCTTTATTCTTTGGGGTTAACGGGCAAAGTTGTAAATCTGTGGGAGATCTTTGGAGTTTGTAGATAGCTTAAGAGTATAGCTATTCCCTTTTGTAAGATTTGTTCCTTGCGCGCAGTCCCCCCTTGAGCTATTTTTAATGAAATGTTACTTGTCAAAAAAAAAAAAAAAAAAAAACTTATTTTAGTTTATTATTTTCTTTTGTCTTCCCCTGTGTGTATGTGGGTGTGGTAGGTGGATATGGTGGGACTGATAATTGAGTTTAGTATTTCCCTTCTCTTTTTCTTTTCTAGTTCATCAAATATTAACACATCACTTCTTTTTCTTGGTCATCTACTTCACAAGAGAGAGAAACAAGAATTATTATTATTATTAATTATATGTATGGTTTATAGCTCCTTTTGACTTCTTGAAGAAAGAAATTGAACTATTTGGGTCTTTACGTGCAACGATTCTATATTATCTATATCAGGGTATACCTGAGCAAGCTGAGGTTCCACGTCTGGTCCAATCCGAGGATAGCAGGCAGGCTGCAAATCCTCCAATTCAGCCTCCACAACCAGCACCTGTTCCTTCAAGTGGACCCAATGCAAATCCGTTGGATCTATTTCCCCAAGTAGGTGTTTGTGGTCACGTTCAACTATTTTTGTCATGACATCTTTGGCAATGGACTTGTATTTTCTGGCAATAGGGCCATCCACCATGGGTTCGAGTGCTGCTGGTGCAGGCACCCTAGATTTTTTACGCAACAGTCAACAGGTATGCATATGTATCTGTGTGTGTCATATTAGGCAACATTATGTTTGTATTCTACTATATTACTCATTATTTGTTTGTTTGCTTCAGTTCCAAGCCTTGCAAGCTATGGTGCAGGCCAATCCACAAATCTTGCAGGTTCTTCACTACTATTCTCCAACCTATTTATTACTTTGTTGTGTTTAACACTTACACACACACACACATTGGTTAAAGGGCCTCTATCACTCTCTTCTTGTTGACAGCCAATGCTTCAGGAGTTAGGGAAACAGAATCCTAACCTGATTAGGCTTATTCAAGAGCATCAGGCTGATTTCCTTCGTCTCATCAATGAGCCTGTTGAAGATGGAGGAGGGTATGTTCCTAATTTGCATGTTTCCTGAACTAATAATAATGAATGTTCACCATGCTAATTTACTGGTATTGTGGTATCAGGAACATATTGGGGCAGCTTGCTTCGGTCATGCCCGAGGAATTAACTGTAACACCTGAGGAACAAGAAGCCGTAGAACGTGTAAGTTATGCCCATTCCAAACTTTATTTTGGGTTTGGATGAGCACACTAAGGTTTTTATTGGCAGAGTTTACATAAAATATATGTGATACCCCTCGATTCTAGAGCCACGGGTGATCAAATCCGAACACAGATCCGAGGGATACCAGACAATTAATATGTAACTAAGCATAGAATACTAAAATGAAATAAGATTAAAATAATAAGCTGAAAAGAATTCTAATTATAAAACCCTCAAAATTTATAAATTAATATAAATTCCAAACTTTCTAATATCTGTACAACTCGGGAATCCATTTAGTGGACCCTTATCCAAATCCCACACTGAAAAGGAAACAACTGTAATAAAATCTAAAGCGAAACATAGAAAGCAGTCCTACGTAGTCGGAGGAGTGAGTGACTGTATCTGCTCTGCATGATCAAGCTCTAACCCTGGAAGTGACGAACACCTCAAAAATAAGGGAGTGGGTCAGGCCCACATGCAGGTTCTATCCTAGTACAATCCATACAGAAACCCAATACGCAGATACATTCTAGATAGCTCAACAATAACTAAAGTAGTCCATATAGAATATAAGTACACACTATAGGACGCTCGCTAGACTATAGTGTAGTCTCAGCTTGAATAGAAGGTAACATGCAAATCGCACGTAACGTGGTCATGTATGCCTAGACCTACTAGGGAACAACAACTATGTCCAGTTTATCCATCCTAGGCGATATACGCACCCTAGCCATGATCCTGAGATTCAAGCTCATATCACAGCACCATAAAGATATATATATATATATATATATATAAAATCCGTTCAAGGTATGACATTCAAATGGTTATTGACCTGCCATATATATAAGTAGGACTTAACTTTTATAGTTAATCCACCTTACATCAGAATAGGTAGGACTTAGTGTTTTGAACTAATCCATCCCCAGAATAGGTAGGCCTTAGTGTTTTGAACTAAACCATCCCTAATATGCCACCGTCCCATACCGGTGCATAGACATACATATAAGTAGGACTTAACTTTTATAGTTAATCCAACTTATTCCAGGATAGGTAGGACTTAGTGTTTTGAATTAATCCGTCCCTAGTATGCTACCGTCCCATACCGGTGCATACACACACAACCAATCCAACAATTGACAAAACAGTACAAGCAGTTCATCAATTATAGTCCAGAACCATATAATAATAATCAGAATCGTTACTGAACACATTATAGTGAAATTCTTAAACGTAAATTTCATAGCAATCCATAAATCCAACAATTGATGCAATCTAAACTGTTAAAACATCAATTTAACTCCATATAAGCATACTATAGTTTCAATTAATCAATTATGCTTATTTCAGTGCTTAAACATGATTAATACTGTTTAATCATACAAACACAAAATGCTAGCATTATAGTAAGCAAATAAATCCTCCAAACAGTCCAGAAATTGATACCGTTTTTAATAAATTAAATATCAATTTAATCCAAACCAAGCCTAGTTAATTGCCGGTATTCCATCACCCTTATAACACTGTTGAAATATGATTAAATATTATTAAATCATATGCGAAAGATTTGGTAAGTTTCAGTAAGCAAACAACTTAACAAAATAGTGCTCAATATGTAGGCCTTTCTTTATCTTCATGTTGCTTCATTCTTTAATACACTAATGTGATAATGCTTCCTAATATTTTCATAAGTCCATCACAATTAATTACATCCTTCGGTGCAATTTAAACGGATTACAAATACTTCGGACAGCCCAAACAACCCTTAAAAAGACCAAAACTGTGCATTTCGGGCGAGAGCAGGTTCTTATAAGTTGAGAGCTTGCTCCATTAACTTGGGAGCCTGCTCTAAGGAGTTGGGAGCAGGCTCCATACTCCTTGGAGCCGGCTCCATCAATGAGGGAGCTGGCTCCCTCCTTTTGGGAGCCTGCTCTCTCACTCCCTGAAGCCGTCCCTGAAGCCGTTATATGTTTTTTGCTTCGTCTTCTTCGCCTCCGGCTATACTCAGGGCCTCTGTAATGTTTTACATACTTGTTCTAGTGTTCATTCAACGTCCCAGATTAATTATAAGACATCGACATGCATCAACGATCTCAATTAAACAAAGCGTAAACTCAAAGACAGCAAAAACCAGTTAACAGAACTTTAAGAATTTGCAAACCAGTTTAATTCAACGAGTTTAAATATAGTTTAAACATGCATAAAAGATTTGTTTTAACATTAATTAAACCCCTGGAGTCTACTTAGGCATGCACAGAACACAGGTTTAGGGGAAAGAGTTAGAACAGAGACTTGCCTACTGCTTTCACCGACCACTGTTGCTCCTAGTTCAACCCACGAGCAAGCTAATTCCCCTCCTTGGTTCAGTCTTAGTCTAAGCCAAACCGTAATCTTCCTTTCTCTATTTCTCTCTGTTTCTCTCTGTCTCTCTGTATGCGTGAACAGGGTTTACAAACCCTTGGCAGACGTATAAAGGTATATATATAGGCTTATACAAATACCAACCCTAATTGTAATTATATTGAGAGATGGAAAGGAAAACTAACCTACTTACATAACCAAATCGGCTACATCCGTGAAGAAAATAAAACCCTAAAATTATTAAAACATTTAATTCACTAATCCACATAAGCATATAACAAGGAAAACAAATAAATTTTTTTTTTTTTGACAAGTAATAATTGAAATAAAAAAGGCGTTCAAGAGGGGAACGCATCCCTTATACAAAAGTGGAACTAGGGATTAAGATCCCAAAGAAGCCAAAAAAATAATTAAATCTTCGGAAGAAGAACAGGACTTCCTCTTCACATAACTGAAAAGAGAGCGTATGATTCTTTCCCTTCGAATATTCTATTATTCCTCTCCTTCCAAATGCATCACCAAACACAATGTGGTACAACTCTCCAATAATCGCGAACAACGCTACTCACACGGCATCTTCTCCATATACAAATCAAATCCTTAGGATAACGAGGCATAATCCAATGCATATGAAACAGACAAAAGATACGATTCCAACAATCCGTCGCTATAGGGCAATGTATTAGAATGTGAGCAACTGACTCACCATCTTGTTTGCACAAACAACACCAATTAACAAGAGAATTGCCCCTTTTCCTTAGATTATCAATCGTAAGCATCTTACCCCAAACAGCGGTCCAAACAAAGAATGCCACTCTAGTTGGAGCCATAGAACGCCAAATAGTCTTCCATGGAAAATCAACAATATCGAAATCAGAAAGACATAAGAATAAGGAACGAACTTCAAAGCGACCATGGGAAGAGGGAATCCATGTCATGACATCACTACCTCTGCCTCCTTTCGATACAACAAATCCATGAAAAGACATACCTCATCCACCTCCCAATCCTGAAAAGAGCGTCAAAATTGCACGTCCCACGTAATCCCTCTACTATCAAGTTGATAATAGTTGGCTACGTAGGCAAGTCTATCAACTGCAATACTGTATAACCTGGGAAATAAACGAGATAAAGGCTGGTCTCCACACCAAAGATCCTCCCAAAAGCGTACACATCTGCCATTATGAACTTTGAATCTGATATGAGTAGAAAAAGCATCCCATCCGTTCCTTATGAATTTCCACGCCCCAACTCCTCCCACTAGAGAAACCGGATGAGTAGACCAACCACCACTCTCTTCCCCATATCGACATGAAACTAACCGTAGTCACGGGCGATGCCTTTCCCTTCCATACCTCCACAGCCATTTACCCAGAAGAGCTTGGTTAAAAGGGATGGTGTCTTCTGATACCAAGACCACCAAACTTCATTGGCTTGCAAACTTGTTCCCAATTGACAAGGTGATACTTAAATTCATCACATCTTCCACCCCAAAGGAAATCCCTTTGAATTTTTTCGATCCTATCAGCAACAAAGCATGGAATTTGGAACATAGATAAAAAATAAGTAGGAAGGCTCGATAAAGTGCTCTTTATAAGCGTAACTTTCCCTCCCTTAGACAAGTATTGCTTTTTCCATCCCGCTAATCTCTTCGCATACCTATCAATCACAGGGTCCCAACACCCCATTGTTCCAATGGAAACCCTAAAGGCAAGCCCAAATACTGAATTGGAAAAGAACTCACCCTACACCCAAGGACTTCCGCTAAAGAAGAAATATCTTGAACATCTCCAATTGGCACAAGCACACTTTTAGCCACATTAACTTTCAGACTAGAGACACCCTGAAAGTAGACCAAAATGCACCTCAAATATCTAAGCTGAGACATATTAGCATCACAAAAAACCAGGGTGTCGTCTGCAAAAAGTAAATGAGAGACCTCCATCTAATGAACAGGATCTCTTCCCACCATAAAGCCCTTGATAAGATCAAGATCCTCTGCTCTTCGCATAAGTTTGCTTAAGCCCTCCATAACAATAAGAAAGAGGAAAGATGACAGGGGATCTCCTTGTCTTAAACCCCGATAGCACCCAAAGAAACCAGCAGGAGACCCGTTCACAAGAACAGAGAATTTGACTGACGAAAGGCATGTCTCAATTCATTTCCTCCATTTACTTCCAAACCCCATTCTCTGAAACAAATAAAGCAGGAAATTCTAATTCACATGATCATATGCTTTCTCAATGTCAAGTTTGCACAAAACTCCAGGAACTCTACTTCTCAATCTGGAATCCACACATTCACCTGCAATAAGAACTGAATCAAGAATTTGTCGTCCTCCAACAAAAGCATTCTGGGAATCTGAAATAATCCCATCCATCACTCCCCTTAACCTAAGAGCAAGGACCTTAGCCAGAAGCTTGTAGATACAACCCACTAAGCTGATAGGACGAAAGTCTTTAATGTCAGAAGCACCTCCCTTCTTAGGGATAAGGGCAATGAAAGTTGCATTAAACGACTTCTCAAAAGCACCAATAGAATAAAACTCCTAAAAAGTGCCCATGACATCATTTTTCACAACTGTCCAACTTTCCAAAAGAAACCGCACAGTGAACCCATCTGGCCCCGGAGCTTTG